CTTACAAATTGCATACATGATTCAATGGATTAAAAGATTAACAGAGAATGGCGATGGCCACTGGAGAGCTATACCAGAGTATATGTATGGAAAATTAGGTAAAAAGTTTAGTGTTCTCAACAGCAATATAAGTACTGATCAGTTGAAAGGTATCGCTCATTTGAGCATTTTCTATAAAAAATTATTATTTACATGGCTTGAGAATAGCAATTATACAGATGAATCTATAATATGGAATAACAGAAATATTGTATTAAGGAGATATCCCTTGTACTTTCACAAGTGGATAGAAAAGGGTTTAATCTACATATCAGATGTTGTTGTGAATGGACACTTAAAACCATATGAGGTAATTTCTGAACTAATAGGAAAAAATGCTGAAACTTTAATGCAATATAACATTTTAAGAGCTTGTTTAAATCAAGAGAAAAGTCATATGTATGGTAATATAAAACCCAGTGAAACACTAGTATTTCGAGGGATAGAAATTGAAAAATTAACATCACAGAAAACCAGGAATAAGCTTGTAAAAGAAAGGCAGTGTGATGTACAATTTAATGGTTTGACTATTGGTTCAGACATTTGGAATTAGCTATTTAAATGTACGTCAGACACTGGTCTTTTAAGTATCCAATGGAAAATTTTCCATGGTATATATCTACATGGAGGTTTATTAAAAAAATATAACATAGAACAATCTGATTTATGCAAACTATGTAACGAAGTTGATGATATTGAACACTTTTTATACATTGTAATGCAATTAGAAATATTTGGAAAGATGTAGCTTTGAATGATAATGAAAAAATAGGGATGGGAATATTAGATAAAAAGTTATTGTACAAGTCACTTGTAATAAAGAAAACCATACATGACTTTACATTTTCAAAGAATGAGAGAAAAAATATATCTGTAATGTTTGAATATGAAAAATATGTTAGAAACATTGTTGATTGAGAAAATGTATTTAAAGTTTTTGAAATATTTCATTTTGAAATATTGATTTGTATGCTAATGAATGATAGAAATAAATTAAAAAAAAAAAAATCCTTGAAAAATTTCATGCCAGTGAAATTTCATTTCGGTGTCAGAAAGCAACTATCCAAAAATTCATTTAAAATTCAAATGGTGAACTAATATGACATAATATTGTTTTTATTTAATTGTTTTGTAGCGCTTCAGTTCAGTTTTTATACAGTTGAAAAAGGATCCAGACAGGAACCGAAACGTCCTGTTTAGTAAAATAAAGGTTGTGAAAAGAAGAAAAAAATATTTTTGTCATTTGATGATCCAACCAGAAGAACATGTTTAAGAGTATACAAGGGGCGATCCATATATTCTGATAAAAATTCTCTCATTTTGTGATTTTTTCACATATCCCTTTCAATTTTTCAGAACATGTAGGTTATGTAATTACACATACAATGCTAAAATATTTAAGCTATATCTTAAATTAATTTTGAAATAAGGTTGCCATGGTAACCTGTATTTAGGGTAGGGAGGTCAGTTAAATTATAATGTCTAAAATAGATAAATATGTTAATTTAATCATTCCTTTGTACCTATTTTAAGCAGATAAAACACATCTTCCAGTCATTGCCAACTATTCATTGATCTGTTCTATACCCCTGATACCCTTGTTTGATAATTTACACAGTGGGATAGCTATCTTTTAATAAGTAATATCTCAATTTATCCTAGTGTTATTCTCTGTCAACAAGCTCTTCTTGCAACCAGATTGTGGATGATCTTCAACAGTGACCATGCCTTCCTCTTTACAATACTACCTATAGATTCTTTATGTAGATATAACACCTTACCCATGCACTAAATGAGTCCATGTAAGTCTCTGACAGTGTCATCTTACTTATTCTTGAAAGAAAATAAAATCTAATGGTATTCCCTAATGTAGTATCTGTTAATGTCACACTATGCATCAGCCACATTAACCTCATCTGACAATTTGATTTTGGTGTGTCTCATAACGTGTAATGTCAATTGGTCCATTCTGTCCTACAATGCTATTGTGATTTGGTGTGATGTTATAGTGAGCACATATTTTTTAGCAACACACAACGAGCAACAATACCAAACTTTTTTTTGAAAAAATGCATGATTTCCGTATGCTTTAAAATAATTAAAATAACAAGTTATTATGATATTTATATGTTATAATTTAATTGACCTGCCTACCCTTAATACAGGTTACCATGGCAACCTTATCTCAATGATAATTTAAGATATAGCTATAATATTTTAGCATTGTATATGTAATTACATAATCTACATTTTCTGAAAAAATGAGAGGGATATGTGAAAAAATCACAAACTGAGAGCATTTTTATCAGAATATATGGATCGCCCCTTGTATAAATGCACATTTGAGATATACAGGTTGATAAACATTAATTTCATGTATATGTACATACTGTATAGTAACTGTATAGTAGCATAGTAACTTTTATATATATATTAAGCATAGTTAACTTGTTGCTTATTAACTTTCTATACTCAAATCAAAGATAGTGTACTAATGATTAAAGTCAATTGATGTTTTTATCATTGATAAAGGATAAATTGTGCCTGGTACATGCAATATGAACTATTATGTTGTAAATTAAACTTGTCCCTCTATCACACCGGAATAGCCTGACAACGGTAAAGTCAGATACCGCTGTCACAAATGGCAGACATAACCATCTGTCACTGTGATAATGTATCATATGAAATCCCATTTTCGATCAAATTGGGTCGTGAATCGCCACAATAAAAAGCGTCTTCTCTATCGTCAATGACAACAGATTCTGAATTTGAGTAATTATCCCATCGAACGAAGTTCAGAGGGATATAGGGAAAGCAACATTTCTTGACATGGAACTTACAATAGAACACAAGAAAATTACTACACAAATATATGAAAAGAGAGAGGATTTTAATTTCAATATACAGACCTTTCAGGAAACATTCCAAGAAAACAATCATATGGAGTTTATGTGTCACAGATAACAAGAATATCAAGAGTCTGCAGTGATGAAAAAATTGCTTCCAAAAGAATCAAGTTCTAGGGGAAAAACTGATATCTCAAGGATATAAGAAAGAAACACTGTCAGCATATATCAAAAAGACAATTGCTAAAAATAAATGGATGCAGATAAAATACAAAAAGCCAAAAAATCAAATATTAAAGATATGGTCAGAGTTCTAAGACTAATAAGGAAATGAGAAAAACAACAAGAATGAACAGAATTTAGATACCACTCTCCGAAATGAAGGTAAACTATAGAAGGAAAACAGCAACAAAAACAAACATCGATAAAGACAAAGGGGAATGTTACCGGTAGAAAAAGCTTTAACCCACTGACGTGTAGTCACAAGTCTGCAGACCCAATACCAAACAAGACCAAAGAGAAAAGTAATAGGGAGAAAGAAGACCAAGAAAGAAGAAACTAAAGAGGACAAGAAAATAACAACAACAGAAACATAGAAGAAGAAACTAAGACAACAAAAAGTGAAAGAAAAAGAAAAATTAAATCAGAAGAAGTAAGAAGAAAACAACAGCAACTACAAATAAATTTTCAAGCCGGACTGAATGAAGATGACATGAAAAGCATATAAACAAGACGTCCGTCCGTCTGTACGTACGTACGTCCATCAATCCACTCGTCCATCCGGGCAATAACTCAAATACCATTGGCCCAATTTTGCTCATATTTTGTACATGCACATATACCTTATGGGTGTAGAAGTTTTGCTCGAAAACTGATTTTCAAAATGGCTGCTCATTTAAAAATGGCAGCCATTTTAGTTCCGATCTTACAGTAATTTAGGTGCAATATGTAAAACTGTAATTGCAATGTTTTGAATGTAAAAAAATTATATAGGACATTAATAAAAGTAGAACTGTAGATATTAAAGCACATGGCAGCCATCTTGAAAAATGGTGGCCTTTACTCGTTATTTTACGATTTTTGATGTAACTCGAAAAGTTGTGGAGCGATTTTTTCATATTTGGTATGTGAATACTATAAGCATGGCACTATCAAATGACACTTTTGGTAGAAGGCGGCCATTTTTAAAAAATGGCTTCCATTTTAACGTATTTTACTATTGCTCCAAAAGTAGTGGAGCGATTTTGTTCATATTTGGAATGTGAATACTATAAGCATGGCACACTGTCTAATGACACTTTTGGTAGAAGGTGGCCATTTTAAAAAATGGCCACCATTTTAACGTATTTAACTAAAATTAGAAAAGTAGTGGAGCGATTTTGTTCATATTTGGTATGTGAATACTATAAGCATGGCACACTGTCTAATGACACTTTTGGTAGAAGGTGGCCATTTTAAAAAATGGCCACCATTTTAACGTATTTAACTAAAATTAGAAAAGTAGTGGAGCGATTTTGTTCATATTTGGTATGTGAATACTATAAGCATGGCACACTGTCTAATGACACTTTTGGTAGAAGCTGGCCATTTTGCAAAATAGCAGCCATTTTTGCTATATATTTTGCTTGTAAAAATGCCAACCATGTTCGATGGGATTTGCTATGCTTTGGCGTTGCTGTTGTCTAGTTTAGAAAGACAACATATAGTAATTACAGTGTCTGTTGTCCAGTATCTCATTTTGATTGGTTAAATTAAAGACTTTATTTCGATGGTAGACCATTATTAACTGTACAAAGAGTGTTAAGACACTTTGATTGATTGTTGTTCCAAAGGAATTTAGTCTAGGTGCTCTATTAAACATACAGTTCATGATTACCGGTAGTTATATATCAGCCATTTGTGACAACGGTATCTGACTTTACCATTGTCAGGCTATTCTGGGGTGTCTATGAGTAGAATACTTCTACTTTGGTTATATATGTTTGATATTATATTTTTGACCTGTCAAAAAGAATATTAAAATAAAATAGTACAGTATGACTCAAAAGTGCAATCTTTTTCACCCGTATCATCTTTGGAGTCTTATGTTTGTTTATATCTTTGTGTTTACAGATTCGTTTGATAGCAGCATGTGTGTTGGTACCACTAAACATAGGGTTAGCCGTGGCAGTTGCGAGGGAATTTGGTTTTCTAGAGTTTAGAATTGTGGGAGCATCAGCTGCCTTTCAGTGTAAGTCGCAGTCCAGTTGCAACCAACTATTAGCTATAAGTGGCAAAACCCCCACTTCATCATACAATGTTAAGATGTATACTTTACTTTTAAAATATACATAAAATAGATTTTTTTAAATGGATTAAAAACCCATTTCTTTTGATATTTATATTCTGTTCCATATACTGTTTGTTTACATTAAACTAACCAAAATTACATTATGTCACTTACCCTACTATCACACCAAACAAGTTCTCACTACGTTCTCAAAAACGGGCTTCAACTGTGTACAAATGGACAGGATGTACTTAGAACCGTTTAATTGGGGTCTTTTTACAAACTTTAATCAAACGTACTCAAACGGGTAGATCCTCTAGTACTTAGAAAGAACATGCTCAAAATGTTCTCTTGGTCGTCACATTCTACAATTAGAACGAGTGACAACCTACTAACGACGAGCTGGACGTACTATGAATGGAACCGTCGTACTTCAATCCTCCTAGGGAGGTTTTTACAACAAATTGAACTGTCTGAGGACATATTGAGAACAAGGTAGCACTAATTGCAAACGAGTTAAAACTGATTAAGAACGTATATAGCTAACACACCAAGCAAGTTGCCACTGCGTTCTTCAAAAGTGGTTTTAATTGTGTGCGAATGAAATGAACGTAGCTACAACATTCTACGGTCTGTTTACAAACTTCATGAACTTTCCCGAATAGGGAATGTGATTTAGAATTTTGAATCGATTCGAAATTTGATGATGACCATACCATTCTGTAATCAGGTCATGATGACCTTCTAGACTAAGGGACACCTTATACGACGTTGCACACCAACGTGATGCGACCTGAACAAACTGCGAATGAGATGGACGTGTTGAAGACTGTTTATGAACGAAGTAGCTAATTATTTTAGACATATTTCCCGACCACAGCCAAATTAAGCCCATTTCACAACGTTTTTGTAGGACTGGTAAGAACTAGTTTGGTGTGATAGGGGGATACAAATATCTTTTAAAAGTCTTCAATGGAACAATTAAATTACTATTTTTTTTTAGATATGTACAGACAGGCAGCATTGTTTTCTTGCCTCTTAAAGTTTGATCTAAATGTTAATGTAAGTACAATGTACAGTTCAACATATCTTAAATATCTCTTTAGTGAACACCTACATCTAGTTTAAATCTTTCTAAGATCTCTCTTTGGAATACTCTACTAGTTAAAGGTGCAACAATTAGTGCAGGGTGGCTATTTAACGATCATTGACCAGTGTCAAAATATATTTAAGTTTGGATATTTCATATATTTTTATTATCTCCAAAGAAACCCCCGGGATGAACATTATTTCAGCTGATATTCCTATTGAAACGTGGTGAATCTTAAAAATCTATGAGTGGGATTCCCTTTATAGAAGCTTTGAACTAATTTACACTTTTTAATGCTGAAATTGAGAGTTTATCCTTACATTTTAAGAAAATAGGTATGTCAGATTAGATGTTAAGCCAGATATCGACCATAAATAATAAAAAATTTCAAATTTTCTCTATAGTCCTTGTTGCCCCTTTAATAATGACTGTACTTTGTAGTGATCACCTCTCTCCAGTTGACACATTGCTATAGAGAATACCTATCAGAACACATTTATTTTATGAACTTTTCATTTCTGTGGCCATCCCTCTTGTGAACCCTTCTTTAGTGAACACTTCTTGTAGATAAACACCCATTCAGTATTTATGGTTAACATCACTGTTGTTAAAATTGATGTTGAGAAATACATTTCTAGTAAACACATGTTTTAAAAGCACAAATAAAAGTCATGATTGCTGTTTTAGAACATCACTATTAGGCTATATAGATACACATCATGAAAGAAAAATGTAAATGATAAATTGCCAGATTTGATTTGAAATAATATATTTTTTTTAAATGTGGTTTTTATGTCACCACCAAAAGTGGTGACATATTGTTATGACCTCTGTTTTTTGTGACGGCGATTTGTTGTTGGCGATCTGTGGTTGGTGTCTGTAACAAATTCTTAAAACTTCCAATAACTTAACAAATTTTGTTTAGACTTACTTCAAATTTTCCAAAATCATCTACAAGTTTTCAGAAGTTCAAATAGATTTTAGATTTGACCTTCAATGACTTTCTCAGGGTCAAAACAAGGTCAGAAAGGTCTTTTTTATCTTGCTTCAAATTGACCAAATTTTTTTCAAAATCATCTACAATTTCTCAGAAGTTCGAATCTTACTTGACCTTCAATGACTGTCTCAAGGTCAAAAAATTTTTTCAGATTGCTTCTATTGACCTTTTTTTCAAATAGACTAGAATATTATCAAATAAGGTTAACATTAAATATTTTTTGAATCAACAATTAACATTGTTTATGGTGATGCTTCAGTGTTAGCGATGTATATTTTCAAGAAATAGCAATAAAAAGCATTCAACATTACTGATAGAAAGTATATTTTGGTTGATTTGGGAGGTATATGTATCACTTCCTGTGAAAATATGAATTTTTTTATCAGTCTCAGAAAATGTCTCCAGAATATATAAACCCAACTTGGCAGATGTCCCATTCTTTGATTGTGTCACTCTATACACTCATTGGATTAATATTTTGTACATATAAATAGTCATATTTCAATAGTCATTGAGTAGGGACTAGTTATGTTTGCAATTGTGGACCTACTTCTTTTTAGATAGAGGAAGGTCATATGATAAACTCTTGCTTTGTCCATATAACGCTTGGTTCTTACCTAGAAAGTTATATAGATTGAGGGAATAGTGTACTTCTTAGGTACTTCTTGAGATATGTAAAAATCTAGGTAATGACCAAGCATTGTGCAAAAATGGAACTTTTCTGCAATTTTCAGCATGAAATAAAATGATGTCAGCCATTTTGAAAATACTTAGAATGATTGTGACAGTTGTGTTTTATATATTTAAGTACATGTATATTTTCTTGATTCATATGATCTTTTCATGAACTAATATGTATGCTTGCACTGGAGCATGACCTCTTGAGAAGATATATCTTTACCATGGCTCTAAGCAACATAATAACATGCAATTCCTTTCAATACATTCATATGAGATGATTGCAAGTACAGTTGGGGACAAAAATAAATGACAGGTCGATTTTCGATCACCATTTCCTAATTATGGTGGTCTGAAAGCCCATAATTTCCAATATTGTGTAGATATATATCCCTTAAAATTTGTATATTTTACATTTTGTATAATCTCATCCACTGATGTATGGCCTCTTGTAAATTCTCTTATTTTTAACATGGGAAATCCTCACTTCAGCAAATCCACCTGTCATTTATTTATGTCCCCAACTGTACAATCATTTTATCTTGATGTTTTGTGTATGAATAATTTTTTTATATTATCACAGTTCACTGGCTGATCAAACCAATGTTCATATTTAGAAATCCAGCTCAACTTTATTGTACAGAAGAAATATACCGTAAGTCACAATCAGTAGGCGGAAAAAACGACATTTGCTAATAAAATACCCAAAGCAAATGGAACTGCATGAGTGAACTCACGCCCGGTGATCATACAAAATGGATGGAGGGGGGATTAGGCGATTTTTGCAAGAAAACTCAACAAATTTGGAAGATTTATTTTTTCAAGAGAAAATTTCAAAAAAAAATGGGACACTCGTATTTCAAAAATAAATATTGATTTTTCTGATGAAAACATGTCATATTATATACCAATGGATAGGGAATTTACTTATCTTTAATTTGGTATATCATAAGTTCAAATTTTTTATAATGTCTGTCAACCAGTGTCCATAATATAAATGACAGGTTTTCCAAAAATTGCAAAAGCAAGTTTTATTGTCAATTTTATTTACATAAACAGATGTTCAATATGTCCACCATTTTGATCAATTGTACCCCTCAATTTTGGCCTACACTGGCCAATAGCATCATTGATATGCTGTTAAAGACAATGAATTTCACTTCTCAACAAGTCTATCCTTAATAAGGGACTGAGTAGATGTAAGGGGTTCATGATAAACCAATTCTGTTTGTTCTCCCGATACATGGTAGTCGCAGACATTGGTTGATCGTATGATCTGGGGGAGGCAGTGATTAGGGAGATGAATCTAGGCACATTTTCTTTGAAACATTTGACACTCTTGTGAGATCTATTGCTTGGAGCCCCATCTTGGTGGAAAATGTAATGATTCGAGGTAACCAGGATGGTCTTAAAACAACATAATTGGATAATGCGATGTCAACGTCTGCGACTACCACGTATTGGGAGAACAAAAAGAATTGGTTTATCATGAAACCCTTACATCTACTCAGTCCCTTATTAAGGATAGACTTGTTGAGAAGTGGAATTCATTGTCTCAACAGAATATCAATGATGTTTTTGACCAGTTAAGGCCAAAATTGAGAGCTATAATTGATCAAAATGATGGACATATTGAACGTCTGTTTGTGTAAAAAAAGTTTGCAAGTTTTGGAGAACCCGTTTTGAAAATAAAATTACGTCATTTATATAATGGACGCTGGTTGACAGACATTATAATAAATTTGAACTTATGATAAACCAAATTAAAGATAAGTAAATTCCCTATCCACTGGTATATAATATGACATGTTTTCATCAAGAAAACCATTATTTATTTTTGAAATACGAGTGTCCCATTTTTTTGGACCACCCTGTAGAATGACCTATATTCTGAAATATAAATGTCAGAATGACCTAATTTTTGGATCTGGTTATCAAACAAAGTCTCTTCTTTTATATCCTGTACAATTTTTTCTAAATATCTTGGGGGCTAATATAGGGTCTTAAAGCCACCCGTCCTTTGAATTTAGATTTGAGATTTGACCTTCAACAAATGTCTCAAGGTCAAAAATCGTCAAAAAGATGATTTTCAACTTGCTTCAAATTAAAGGGGCAACAAGGACTTTAGAGAGAAAATTTGAAAATTTTTATTTTTTCTGAGCTATCTGTTCAATATTTGGCTGAACATCTTCTTTGACATACCATTATCGCCATATTAAGGGCCCACCCCTAATAAGCGTTCATCCTGCTTCACAGAGAGCTCCAGAAATATCGAGGAATGGCCAAGTATTAACGAATATATATTTCCAAAGAAATATAGTGGGCGATAATAGAGTACTTACACTAAAATGCAGAAAACATGATGCATTTGGTAAATCGATGCATCCTCCCGATGAATATCTATCAGTGGGTGCTTCCCACATAATACTAAGCTAATATTATCTCAAATAGTCCATAATGAATTAAGGAAATGATCACATTTCAGAGATTTGTTTCGACAATTTTTTAACTCAGCGATCGTCAAGGTCATGTCAAGGTCGTGAACTTTCTTGTTTCTTTTTAAGATTTCTCGACTTTTTCATTCATGACTTTTACACCACGGGTTCAAGAGGAATATCAGCTGAAATGATCATCATCCAGGGGGTTTCTTTGAAGATAATAAAAATATATTAATAATAACTTAAGTTCATTTACTTCAGAGTAAAATGTTTTATTTTCGACGTTTCGCTAATCATCCAACTAGCTTTTTAAAAGATAGAACACGGCTATCTCCTAAGAATATAGCAGAGTTATTAAAATTCTGTTTGAACACAACATACTTTCTATGGAATGATGATTATTACGGACAAAAGTCAGGTTGTGCTATGGGGTCTCCGTTGTCACCTATCATTTCCAATATATTCATGGAAGACTTTGAAGAAAAGGCCTTGGCCTCAGCAGACATTCCTCTGAAACTCTGGTGCCGTTTTGTCGATGACACATATGCAGTTATTGCTAAAGATGCTGTGGAGTCTTTTACTGAACATTTAAACAGACAAAATGAAGGTATAAAATTTACGAAAGAGGTATGCAAGAATGGGGACCTTCCATTTTTAGACTGTTTAACACACATTGAGCAGGATGGATCAATCACATTTAAAGTATATAGGAAACCTACACACACAAACCAATATTTACATTATAATTCTAGTCATTCCATCGACACAAAGAGAGGGGTAGTTAAAACATTGTATAGACGGGCATTGTTAATTGTTAGCAAACCTGAAGATCTTATACAAAAAAGGCATTAATCAAACAATTGCTTAAGGAGTTTGGGTATCCAGATTGGTTAATCAAAGAAGGTGAATCAATTGGTAATAAACAGACCTAGAAGGACACAACCTACACAATCTACAGAGGTAAAAGGAACGGTTGTGCTTCCTTTTGTTCCGAATATATCCAACCAACTGATACGCATTTTTAAAAGACAAAATCCGGGCATGTTTTAAATCGTCTATGACCTTACGTGATCAACTAGTAAAGGACAATGTGGAAACAGAAAAACGATCCAATGTTATATACAAGATCAACTGCAAGCAGTGTCAGGGGTGTTATATAGGTGAAACCAGGCGTGATTTAGGATCAAGAATTAAAGAACACAAGAGGAGAATGGTGATGTAATGGCATCTGCAATAAAAGAACATTCCCTTGATTATTATGATCATACAATTGACTGGCAAAACGTTTCAGTGATAGATACAGAAAATAATAATCTCAAGCATAAAGTTAAAGAGGCAGTTTATATAAAGCAATATAAACCAATGTTGAACAGGGATGCAGGATATCCTATAAGCCCTGTATTTTATAAACTTCTATGAATTTATATTGATATTTCAATTGTTTCCTAGCCATAGTTTTATATATAAAACATTGGTGTTTCTATGTGTAGTTTATTGTCATAGTTTGTTGTCATAGTTTATTGTCATTGTTTATTATTGTGTTGTTTATTGTTATCTGGATATTGTATTATTGTTCAATTATTACCTCATAAATAATATAACTGTGTACTTCCATTTTGAATGTTGAAAAAGCTAGTTGGATGATTGCGAAACGTCGAAAATAAAACATTTTACTCTGAAGTAAATGAACTAAAGTTATTATTAATATATTACCAGAGTGATGAATCTACACAGGAATAAAAATATATGTTACTCTTGATGAAATATCCCAACTTAAATATGTTTTGACCCTGGTCGATGAGCGTTGAATGGCCCCCTGCACTAATTGTTGCACCTTTAACCAAATATTTTTTTCAAAATCATCTACAAGATCTCAGAAATTCAAATCTGATTTTTAGATTTATGACTTGACCTTCACCTTTTTTGAAGTAAAAAGGTCAAAAAGGTATTTTTTCAACTTGCTTCAAATTGACCAATTTTTTCAAAATAATCTACAAGTTCTCAGAAGCTCAAATCTGACTAAGATCATAATTTGTCATGTTAATGCTGTAATGTTTAATATGGTTTGTTTTCCAGTTTAGTTTTATTGTACTGGCATTACAAGATGGGACAAATCTGTCTGTGTTAGAAGTAGTCACCCTCGCTACAGGGTTACCATATTCTCTACTGTGGGTTATTATGGGATGGGTTGCTGTAAGTATGCTGTCATCTATAACTCGGTAATAATATGTCAACATGGTCATGCCTCGAAGGTCAAAAAGGTCTTTTTTTCAACTTGCTTCAAACTGACCAAACTTTTTGTTAAAATCTCATCAACAAATTATCAGAAGCTCAAATCTGACTTTAGATATATTGTTATGGTCTCCTTTTTAGCTCACATGGTGCGCTATTGTAATCACTGACTTGTCTGCCTTTGACTCCTGGTTCAAAAGCTGACCTATTTTCAAAATGGCCGCCATTTTTGTCTCGCGAAGTTTACTTTTGGACCATTTGCTTTAAAACTTCTGTCGATAGGATTCCCTTTTTAAGTTATTTTTGTTCAACATCAATACAAAAAACTCCCCTATGACTCCTGGTTCAAAAGCTCACCTATTTTCAAAATGGTCGCCATTTTTGTCTCGCGAAATTCACTTTTGGCCCACTTCCTAGCTTTACAAAAAATTTCAGGTGTCCTGCATTGTAAAAAGGCATGTCACTGTAAAGAGTAGTTGTTGTAACAAAAATAGGCAAAAAATTATGTCTGTTTTTTTTTATTTTCAGCCATTTTAGTTAACATTGATTTGTCCATCTGTCTCGCGAAATCCACTTTTGGTCTATTTGCCTTAAAACCTCTGTTTATTGGATTCCCATTTTAAGTTATTTTTTACCCATCGGACGAAGTTGGCAGGGATAGAGGGAACACCTCCATCCTTCTGGGCAATAACTCAAATAGGGTTGGCCCAATTTTTTCATATTTTGTAAACATATACCTTATGGGAGTAGAAGTTCTGCTTGAAAGCTGATTTATTTTCAAAATGGCCGCTCATTCATTTAATTTAGGTACAACTCCAATGAATGTAAAACTGTAATAGCAATATGTTTTAAATGTAAAAAATTATATAGGACATTAATAAAGCTAGAAATATAGATCTTAAAGAAGCACATGGCAGCCATCTTGAAAAATGACGGCCTTTTTGAAAGCTGGTCCTCCATACTAAACACTAGGGCATAGCATTTGTACTGAAAGGAGCGTTATCAGTACAAATATGTACTGAAAAATGTACTGAATTTTTAAGTATATTTTTCAGTATAAATATGTACTGAAAAATATACTTAAAGTTTCAGTGCAAATTTCAGTATAAATATGTACTGAAAAATGTACTGAAATTTTAAGTACATTTTTCAGTATATATTTATACTGAAAAATATACTGAATTTTAAGTGTGATTTTAAGTGCAAATATGTACTTAAAAATACACTGAAATTTAAGTGTGATTTTAAGTGCAAATATGTACTGAAAAATATACTGAAATTTAAGGGCATATTTAAGTGTAAATTTATACTGAAAAATATACTTAGATTTTGAATTACGACATCTTCCTGACTTTGACATCTATACCATGGATTTTGCTATACTCGAACAAATGTTCATGTTATATATTTTAATTTTGATATCAATTAATTAATTTGCTCAAGCAATATGAGTGAAAATCTCATGAAAAACTTATTTTTAAGACTGAGAAAATGTGTACCTTTAATATTTTTGAATTTTAGAACTTAATAAGGTAGAATGTATCTACCTGTAGAAACCTGAAAAGGTATGGAATACACATGTTATGTACGATCAGTTTTAAATAAAGGGTTTATCCCTCAGGAAATATGGGTATCCAAAACCTCCCAGTACATAACCCTTACTGTATATATGCATTATATTTGATAGGTTTGATCGGGCTAAAAAGAAATTGTATTATTTTATTGATATTCGATTTTCTTGAATTGTTACTGCAGGTTTGTAATATTATAAACAAGTCATTTAAAAAATTAGTTATTGGGAAAGTAAAGAGAAATTCTAGTAATCGGTTAAATTTCAGTCTTAAAGTTGACATGTTTTAGGTAAAAAAGATTTTGTTGACATGCAAGCTACTTCAAACTTCACAAACATTCATATCAAAGAAGATACATATATTGCCTATTAAACTGAAAATGGATTTTAGCAATAATATCGGAATATGAATCTACCTGTTGTTATTCGATCAAACTGAGTTCTTCTGAGAAAATGAGGATTTTAGCAAGGGTGCACTGAGTTAACTTGAATGAAATTATTTTGGATGCTTCCTTTACAGCAGACTTTAACCAAACTTAAAAGAGTCTCTCTTTAATCAGGTTTGTTTTGCCTTGTCAAAATATTTTGTTTTGTTAATGGATTAATAAAGTTTCTTTAGACACATCCTTTAAAGCAGACTCTAATCAAACTGGAGAGGCTAGGTTTACTGTAATCAAGTGTTTTCCTTTTAATAAGTTATGTTTTTGGATTTAATTATTTAAGACGCATCCTGTAATAATATCTGATTGCATTTTCTCCATCAATAAACAAATTATTCTGATCACAGAATTTCTTCCTTACAGACACATCTTCCTTACTTTATAATTATGATTACAAGATGGAGTATTGCCTAGTGTCTGAATTTGCAGAATTGGAGAATTGCAAAATTATTTCAAATGTTTTAAAAATGCAACATACATTTTCCTTTTGACTGGAATTTAATAAGAAAACATCTCTGCATTTATTTCTAATGACTTACTATCAAAATGCTATCATAAACCAACAAGATTGCTACACTGTTGTTATATGATATGACAGTCTATGTACAATGTAATTATTAGAACAATGTAAATAAATATAATACTATAAAGTATGCCTTACATTTACATTTTCTCTTATTTCCATTATTGGGCACAAATATTTCTTATTGCATATATTTATACTTAAAATTATCCTTAAATTTCAGTATATTTTTCAGTACATTTTTATACTGACTTTTGCACTTAAATTTCAGTACATTTTTCAGTATATATTTGTACTTAAATTTATCCTTAAATTTTCAGTGCATTTTTCAGTATATTTTTGCACTTAAATTTGTCCTTAAAATTCAGTACATTTTTCAGTACAAAGGACGATTCTCGGTTTGGAGAACGAAGTTCTTCAATCTAAATGAGCATTATCCCTGTTTCGGACAAATTTGATTTTTTTTACATAATATAGATTTGAATGTCTTCTTTTGAATAGTCATAATTTAATTTGGGTAATATTTTTAGATTTTTCGCAAAAAAATATTAGCGCAGTACACTGATGAACTTCTTTCCCCAAAATCAAGACTTGTATTTTATTGAATCAGTCTAATTGAGCATTATCCCTGCTTCAGACCAATTTGTTATTTTTACATCTTGTAGATTTAAATGTCCTCTTTTGAATATTCATAGTTTAATTTGGGTAATATTTCTATATTTTTCATGAAAAAATTATTAGCCCAGGAGACTGTTCTCCAAACCGAGAATCGTCCTTTATACTTAAATTTGTACTTAAAATTCAGTATATTTTTCAGTACATGAATTTGTACTGAAAAATGTACTGAAAAAAATCAGTGCATTTTTCAGTACAAAAATATACTTAAATTTGTACTGAAACAAAACTAGTACATTTTTATTTGTACTGAAAACGCTCCTTTCAGTACAAATGCTTTGCCCTAGTGAAACTATTAAAACAAAACAACCACCATATAAATTTACATTGGCTTTTTTGTGCCGCTATTTATTACAGTATAACCGCATACATACAAACTCCAAATACATAAAGACCTTTTGGGCAGCACCTCCTAGGCACCCCCCACGAATGATCTGATCATAATCCTTGCATATAAAGCCATATATCAAAGTTCCATTAGCAACTCTAAAGTAGAACCCCCAGAGGTAAACCGTTAATATTACATATTCCATCTCTACCGATGCCCTGGAGGAAAAAGCAAACAATAGTTATCCCATCAAACGAAGTTCGGAGGGATATAGGGAACGCCTCCGTCCGTCCATCCATCCGGGCAATAACTTTAATTCCGTTGGCTGTTCCGTTCCGTTGGCCGTTCCGTTGTATATTTAATTTTTTATATACAAGGCGTTCCACAATCCACATACCCTAATCAATACCACCGTTTATCGTCGCTTAAATAGAACAGAAAATACTTAAATATTTTACCTTCAATGACCTTCTCAAGGTCAAAATTTTTCAAAAGGTCTTTTTTCAACATGCTTCAAATTGACCAACTTTTTTTTCAAAAGCATCTACCACACCAGGTGATCGTACAAAATGGATGGAGGGGGAGTAGGCGTTTTCTGCAAGAAAACTCATTAAATTTGGAAGATTTATTTTTTCGAGAGAAAATTTACAACTGAGTTGCCAAATGAATAGGGCAGTGCATGGCAAAATATGTTAGGTCATCTAGTATTTTTTTGGTCCGCACAAATTAAAACTGCTACTCGGATTGGTTCATATCCACATTCATTTTAAGCATATCCATAATGCCTATTTGACCTTTCATCGCCATTTCCCAAGTTCGCCCGGTTTCCGAGAAATTGCTGATTTTGACATCAAAAAGTCAAATTTTCTGTAAATACTAGACACTTTGTTGAAGTAGAACTTTCGAATAACTTGTAGTAGTTGCTGTACATGCAACTTATGCCCTCTGAAGATTTCAAAGCTCTTTAAATTACAGTTTTTGGTGTTTACTCTATAAAATTTGACAAAAAGTAGGACTCCTTTTCAGTGAGCTTTCTCATGTATATCGTCAATGGCAGGCTTTGTGATTGACAAGTTTCTCAAAGTTTGTCCCTATACTTGTTCATTACTTGCAAGGAATTACATCATTACTAGATTTAAGCATTCCCTACATATTGCATAATATATGTCAGCATCAAATTTTTACTGTTTTTGAGATATTTGACGTCAAAAACCTGTAAAAAATGTTATTTTTCACCTTGCTTCAATTTGACCAAATTGTTTTGGGAAAATCGTCTACAAGTTGCCAGGAGGTCAAATCTGACCTTAGTTTTGAGAGTTGACCTTCAATGAATTTTCAAATTGATTATTTAGATGTAAATTTTAGCTCTGAATAAGGAAAATGTTTGAGGCCAAAGGTCCTGAAACTAGGTCACAAACTGTACTATAGTTTCTCAAAGTTCAAGACTTCAAATCATAATCAATAATTTTGTTTGAAAATTAGGATATACATTTCTCTGAAGGTTATACACTGTGTGAGCACAGGACCGTGGGTCCTTTATTTGAACTGATACGCTTCTAAGATATGAGATCTATTAAAAAAGGCGCTTCATCACCAACGTACAAAAGTCAATGTTTTTGCTATAAGTCAGACAACAATTGTCTATACGACCTGTAATAAATAGGTATAAGGGACGTTATTATCACAACACTAATGACATTGCTCACCTTTTGGCTCACACAGTGATTTCTGTTGGTCCGTCCGTTGGTCCGTCTGTCCGTCCGTTGGTCCGTCCATCCGTCCGTCAACATTGACCGCACAAATTAAAACTGCTATTCAGATAGAGTCATATCCACAGTCATTTTATGCATATCCATAATGCCTATTTGACCTATCATCGCCATTTCCCAAGTTCGCCCGGTTTCTGAGAAATTGCTAATTTTGACAAATTCTCTGTAAATACTAGACACTTTGTTGAAGTAGAACTTTCAAATAACTTGTAGTAGTTGCTGTTTATGCAACTTATGTCCTCTGAAGATTTCAAAGCTCTTGGAATTACAGTTTTTGTTGTTTACTCTATGAAATTTGACAAAAAGTAGGACTTGGTCATTTTCAGGAAACTTTCTTATGTATTAGTCAATGGCAGGTTTGTGATTGACAAGTTTCTCAAAGTTTGCCTTATACTTGATCATTTCTTGCAATGAATTACATCATAATTAGATTTAAGCATTCTCTACATATTGCTCAATATATGTCAGCATCAAATTTTTACCGTTTTTGAGATATTTGACGTCAAAAAACAGTAAAAATAAGTTATTTTTCAACTTGATTCAATTTGACCAAATTCTTTTTTGAAAATTATCTACAAGTTACCAGGAGTTCAAATCTGACATTAGTTTTAGGATTTGACCTTTACTTGACCTTCAGTGACCTTTGAAAGGTAAAAAAAGTTGATTTTTCAAATCGATTTTTTGGATGTAAATTTTGGTCAGCTTAATCACAAAAGACCTTAGCTCTAAATAAGTAAAATTTTCAAGGTCAAAGGTCATCAAACTAGGTCACACAACTGTGCTGTCTAAGTTTCTCAAAGTTCGAGACTATACAAATCCAAATCAATATTTTTAAAAGTCAGGATATACATTCCTCTGAAGGTTCCAAACTGTGTGAGCACAGGACCGATTTTTAAAGTTAGTTTCCATGCGTTATACAAAAAATAATCGAAATAAATTAATATTGGATGGAGGGGGAGTGGATGGAGGGGGGAATAACGTGTATATAAGCATGATAAGAAATGCTACTTGAATTCATTCATATAACTCCAAATTTTCCCATTTTTCATTCTCCAGAGATATAATATCCAGTTTTTTACTGGTGTACTGAGTTTAGTTTTTTCAAATACAAAAGAACTTTTGAATTTGTTCCATCGTAAAGACATATAACTCCTCCAAGTTATTTATTTCAATTATTTTTTGTATAATGAATGGAAACTAACTTTATTATGAATGGAAACTAACTTTAAAAGTGAGCAATGTCATTTGTGTTGTGATAATAACGTCCCTTATACCAATTTATTACAGGTTGTGTAGACCATTGTTGCCTGATTTATAGCAAAAACATTGACTTTTGTACGTTGGTGATGATGCGCCTTTTTTAAAGGATCTCATATGTTAGAAGTGTATCAGTTCAAAAAAATACTAGAAGACCCTAACATATTTTGCCATGCACTGCACCTACTCATTTGGCAATTCAGTCATAAATTTTCTCTTGAAAAAATAAATCTTCCAAATATGTTGAGTTTTCTTGCAGAAATCGCCTACTCCCCCCTCCATCTATTTTGTACGATCACTGAGCGTGTCGACAAGTTCACAGAAGCTCAAATCTGACTTCAGAAATGGGGGATTGGGAAAACAGGAATTTGCATTAATTTTGAGATGTTTTTGAAGTATAGCTTTATTATACTCAAATGAAAGGCAATTTAGAGTAGATTGCAAATAGTGTAGCGCTTGTTTGATTCTGGTCTAAAAAATTCAAAATGGCCACCTAATGCGGGATTTCGCAATTATTTTCTGATCTCTTAAAAGTATGGCTATATTATACTCAAATTGAAGGAATTTCAGAGTAGATCACAATTATGGCATTGTTTTTTGCTGATTTGAGCCTCTGAAAATTCAAAATGGCTTACTAGAGCAGAAATTTGCCATTAATTAGAGTTATCTTGAAAGTATGGTCACATGATACTACAATGATTTAAAATATTTATTAAGGTAAGAGTAGATGGTAAATATTACATTGTGACTGTACAGATTGATGATTTATACAGGGTGTCCACAAAAAAGTATACCCAACTTCAAAACCAAACTACTAGAATCCTGAGCAATCATTTTGAAATCCAAAGGTAACAGCAAAAAGCCTTATTTGTCCTCCATCAAATGGTACCTAGATTATATGTAACTGTCATGTATGACTGAGATATCATGACCATTCTGGTAGGTGGTAAAATCAGCACTGTGCCAAGTTATCTTCCTGTGTGGCAATTGAAATCAATTGATTTGTAATTGGCTTAGTATTCTTTTTCTGTTACATTATGTTAGATGACAGGACTTTCATAATGAACTGGACTGGGGGCTGAGTAGCTCTCTTATGAAAAAAAGATTTGGCAAAAAGCTTACTTACTCTAAAATAGGCCTGCAAACTTGGTTCAACTGACACCTGAGCAGTAGAGCCAACAAAAAGCAAGTCCAGTGTACTGTTTAAGAAACCGTATTCTTACTATTGAAAATGGATTCTAGCAATACTGTCCAACATAAATCTACTTGTTGAGACTCAATCAACTTGAGTTCTGAGAAAATGAGGATTTCAGCAAGGGTGTATTGACTTAAATGGGGGATACAATGACTTCAAGGCTGCATATCATCAAGTAGAAGTTTCATTGCTGTTCAAGAAGCTCTTGGGATCCAATTCCCGAGAGGGAGATAGCAATAAAAAGTTATGGAAAATTATGCAAAAAGATTGAAGAACATGGGACAAGTTTGAATTTGAACATTAATAATGTTTTGAACACAAAAAAACATTCATTGTGTCAATCCTACTTGAATGCTAACTTGGCTCAGTGCTGATTTTACCACCTTTCATAAAAGTCTTGATTGCTCAGTCATACATGACAGTTACATAATGATCTAGGTACCATTTGATGGAGCATAAACTAGGCTTTATACTGTAGCCTTTAAATTTTTTAAAAATTGCTCAGAATTCTGGTATCCTGGATTTGAAGTTGGGTATACTTTTTTGTGGTGTTAGTTGTGTTAGTGTTAGTTGGGATTTGCTACTCCTTGGAGTTGCCATTTTCTAGTTATTCCTTAGATATTGATCCATTGAAATATACTTCCAAGCACAGATTAATGGAAAAATACATTGATGCTTGAATAGTAAATATGTAGTACTTTATGTGTTTATATCAGATTACCACTATGATTCCAAATACAATAATAACATCAAGAAGTATGCAAATTTTTATTGTATTTTTTGATTTTCAGATGCGTAAAGAGTTGCAGTGGTTGATATGGGTATTCGCTGTACTGTCAATTCTAACTCCTGCCTATGTCATTTATAAGATAGTATTTGTAAGTATAATTGTTTCTTTATTTTGATTATGTATAAGGATTTTATTGAATATTTTGGCACACATGTCAAAAAATGTGAAAAAATTGTCACTCTTTTAATTTGCAATATATCTGCTACCAGTCTTCAGATTTACATACAAAAAAGGGATTTGTGTCAACCTACATCTTCTTAACATAACCCCCCCCCCCCATCAACCGTTACATACACTATTATCAGCTTCCTTAATTATATTTTCAGATCTACAATCAAGATTTCACTGCAATCCAATCAAATTTGAAAGTCATTGAATTTGCATCATTGGCTGTTGGTAAGTTACAGAAGTTATTTACATGTACATAAGAATTGACCATACCTAAATACCTATCTACCTATTTGGCAATCGCACCCCCCTGGCTGAAAGCTGGCTACACCCCTGCCACTGTTTACTTTATTCCTTGCAATTAACGCTATATTTCTCTTTATTTTGCATTTTAAAACATCATCACCATGTGTTTCTTGTAATTATAGGGGCCCTGAGTTTGATAGTTCGCTTTGTACTGTTGTGTGAACTAGTCGTAGTCTATAGAAACTTTGGAAAGGGTCTAAAACAGAGAGGTGAGCATAATTTATTTTGGTTTTGTCTATCAGATGTCACAAATGTTATGGCAACTTTGGTTTCTCATACATTAAGAAGGTCAGTATTACATAATCATGAAATGAATAAGTCTGAAAACACAATTGGTCAGAATGTACTAAAATCTGCTTGAAACTGAGAAACATTGTATGCTCTATTCCACACAATTTAGAGGCTTTAGAAATTCGCAGTAACAATGAATAAGTGCCTGTCTATAATCATTTCATAGAAAACACTTAATGTACTGCTTATCAGATGTATTGTGTTGTGACCATACAAGACGTAATACTTTGGATTTGGCGCACTAATAGTATCACCAAATTGCTTCCAAAGTGGCTTAGTTAGTCTAAACTGATGTTGGGGTAGATTACTAAGAAGTGGCCCATAGTCAATATAGATTGGTTCATTGACTATTCATTTTCACTTGTCTGCAGTCAAAAAGGTGACGCAAAAGCACACCCCATTCCCTTATACGTCGTAACACCAGAAGCTTATGATGTTATACAAGTATTTTTGGCGGGAGATTTGTAAGTACTCATTTATTTCGTCGTTTTGACAGAATATGGTTCTTTCCCTTTTGTAGAAACATTGACCATACCATGCAGATATACATGTACTTCTTGTATCACTGCATCTGAACATGTCGTCTGGACACGGTCTAGAACTTCTCAAACCTTCTAGAAATTTTGGAAAGAAATGATGATTTTTTCACAAAAATGATCATAGTTTCTAATAATAATAATTCTAACCCTAACATCTTGAAATATTGATTAGGTTAACAATGCAATTTTTATACATCATCCAGACAATTCATTTTCCCAAATCAATGAAAGAATTCCGACAAATTAATTTTTCTTTGAAGATACCGTATTCTCTGTAATTAGCGCCCAGGGCGTTTAGAAAATTGAAAATACATTATTTAGACCATTCTAATAAGCGCCCATGTATGAAAGAAATCAGAAATCCCGAGGAATTTCATGTATGGCAATTTTTCTTGACAAGAATGCATTTTCTTCAACATATTTTTATAATAATATGACAAGTGCTGTTATTGGAGAGAATACGGTAAAGATCGCTTAGACAATATTGACAGTGGTTGAAGACCCGTCTATGTCTAATTTATTTCCGGCACGCCCACTTTGTCATTATCGCCGATTACCTTCAATATTTCCACTAGAGACTGCTGGATATTGATCTAAAGTTATACATTATTTCTAATTTGATGAGAGATCATCATTATTCGTGCAAAAGTCGTGTAAAAGTCGAGAAACATTAAAAAGAAACCAGAAAGTTCACGACCTTGACATGCGCAGAACATCTGCGCAGTAGCTTTTGAAATTTCTGAATGCCGATAAAGAACAATTCCTTCATTCATTATGGACTATTTGGAGACAATATTAGCATGGTATGGTGTGGGAAGCACCCATCGATAGATATGTATCGAGAGGATGCATAGAATTACAAAACGCGTCGTGTTTACAGCAGTTTTAGGGTAAGTACTCTATTATCGCCCGCTCCTGGATTTTGAGAAATATTTTTTTCCTGATATATTCTTCAATTCTTGTTGATTCCTCGATGTTTCTTGAACTTTGTGAAGCGGGGTGGGCGCTTATTAGAGAGTGGGCGGTAATTACAGAGAATACGGTATACGAGGTTAAGGAGGCTTACAACGTTTGCCATGACATTGTTTCTTTATATTATCTTGATCTTACCTCACTAAACACGTATTAAAAAAGATTTAGGTTTATTTAACATTAAACATATTTATGAGTCCATGGTAATATATATTTATTATCCCATCGAACAAAGTTCGGAGGGATATAGGGAACGCCTCCGTCCGTCTGTCCGTCCGTACGTCCGTACGTACGTACGTACGTACGTACGTCCGTCCGGGCAATAACTCAAATACCTTTGGCCCGATTTTGTTCATATTTTTTACACATATACCCTATGGGGGTAAAGTTCTGCTCCAAAGCCGATTTTCAAAATGGCCGCTCATTTCAAAATGGCTGCCATTTTAGTGCAGATTTTACAGTAATTTAGGTGCAATATTTAAAACTGTAATAGCAATATGTTTTAAATGTAAAAAAATTATAAAGGACATTAATAATGCTACAAATGTAGATATTAAAGAAGCACATGGCAGCCATCTTGAAAAATGGCGGCCTTTACTCGTCATTTTACGATTTTTGCTGTAACTCAAAAAATAGTGGAGTGATTTTGTTCATATTTGGTATGTGAATACTATAAGCATTGCACACTCTCTAAAGACACTTTTGGTAGAAGGCGGCCATTTTGAAAAATGGCTGCCATTTTTACGTATTTTACTATAACTCGAAAAGTAGTGGAGCGATTTTGTTCATATTTGGTATGTAAATACTATAAGCATGGCACACTGTCCTATGACACTTTTGGTAGAAGGCAACCATTTTGAAAAAAAAATTGAAAATGGCCTCCATTTTAAGACACTTTCGGTAGAAGGTGTCCATTTTGAAAAATGGCCGCCATTTTAACATATTTTACTATAACTCGAAAAGTAGTGGAGCGATTTCGTTTATATTTGGTATGTGAATACTAAAAGCATGGCACACTTTTGGTAGAAGGTGGCCACTTTGAAAAATGGCCCGATTTTTACGTATTTTACTATAACTTGAAAAGTAGTTGAGCGATTTTGTTCATATTTGGTATGTTTCATATTTTATATGTGAATACTATAAGCATGGCACACTGTCTATTGACACTTTGGGTAGTAGGCAGCCAGTTTGAAAAATGGGCACCATTTTTACATTTTTTTAGTATAACTTGAAAAGTAGTAAAGTGATTTTGTTCATATTTGATATGTGAATACTCATGAGCCTTGCACACTGTCTTATGACACTTCGGATAGTAGGTGGCCATTTTAAAAATGGCTGTCATTTTTACATTTTTTACTATAACTCAAAAATTAGTGGAGCGATTTTGTTCATATTTGATATGTGAATACTTTAAGCATGGCACATTGTCTAATAAAACTTTGGGGAGTAGTCGGCCATTTTGAAAAATGGCCACCATTTTTATGTGTGTTATTTTACAAGTACGTGTGTAATTTTTCAAAAATTTTATAGGTGGCTACTTAAAAGCATATTATTTCTTCTGATGACAACTTGGCTAGTGAGCAACCATTTTGAAAATGGTGGCCTTTCTGGTGTGTTGTTTTATGATATTTGCTCTTTGTTTGTAAAAATGCCAGCCATTTCTGTTCGATGGGATTCGCTACGCTTTGGTGTTGCTGTTGTGCTGGATTTCTTTTAGTTGGTTCAGTATTAGAGTTTCCAGGCCATGGGGGCTAAAATTATCCCTCGGGGCATAAAGAAACAAAGAATAAAATTGAGAGGCTTCACTTCTCCCCAAAGAGAATTTTGGTGAAAGCTCAGTGATGCAATGCCCATGATGCACTAAAATTCTGAATGCCAGAAAAAACTCCTACTGAAAATGTTCATACTTTTTCATGCTGTAATTATTCGAACAAATAGCATGTATAAAGATCGCACACAATAATGATTACTATAAACTGTTTGGAGATCACACGAGTGCATTGATTATGAAGAAGATGTTTCAACAATGGAACACAAATGGCTTCATTTTGGAAACACATATAATCAAATCAAAATTTGAGCAGTGTTTGATTCAAGGAAACAAACATTATTATTTTCGGTCAGAACTCTCTTCATAATATAAATATTGTTTTCCCTCATTGCTACTCAAATTCTTGCCAATTTTTGCGCCCTATATATTTGAAGAGCACATTCTGCAAGTGATTGAAAATTCAAAATAACTGTGTAAACCTTGAATTAAAGGAGCATGTAGGTTATCGCAAACAATTATATCTTGGACTATGACAATAAAGACAGGTTTATCTTTTAGATCAATTCATTATCTCAAAGAAAATTATATACAGTAATAATAAAGTCAAACAATTCAGAGATATTTAACTAGCAATCAACCCATCAACACACTTTTTCAAAGATGTTGACCCCATTTTCACCAAAAATGCAATCATTTTTACAAAGTTTAATGCATTACTATTCCTTATTTTGATGTATCAAATAGTTCTTGAAAGAAAAACTTAATTGCTTTAAGATAAGTGTTCCCCATGTTATTTCTCCATTGAAAAATCTCATGCTATCCATTGGTTTCAGTTCATTTGGTCATCCAAATTCAGTATCTTTAAAGTCCCTGGAGCAATCAGCTTTTCCTTTTAGGAAATCGAACATGTCTTGAAGCACATTCTAATTATGCATTCAACAATATAATAAAAGATTGCATTTTTGGTGAAAATTAGGTCAACATTTTTGAAAAAGTATGTTGATTGGTCCATTGCCCCTTCAATATCACTTAGGTCTGATTTACTAAATTATCATTTTATATACTTTTCTTGAAGATAATGAATGGATCTAAAAGATACACCCATGTTCATGATCAGAAAATATTCATAATTCAAGTTAACCTATGTGCTCCTTTGGATGGTTCTATATCTGATAATTTCTGTATTAAAGTTTGTGCTCTGTTATGGTCTTGAGCTATTTATTTTGCTGACTTAATTATTCAGGGTGGTTGAAACATAAAATTTATTTATTAGGGATTTTCTCGTAAATGGACCTTTTAAGCAAATTTGACCAGATTTAAGCAAATTTAAGTAAATTTTGCAAATTTTAAGCAAATTTGGCATAAATAAAGCAAAAAGTAAATGTCTCCACAAAAATTTGACGAAATACATGTACATTAGGTATCGTATTGTTGTTTTATTTTTTACAAAAGTTGCATGAATTAATGATTATAGATGTGTGTATAATCCTGCTGCTCTATTCTACCCTTATAGAGATTTTCACAACCTACTTGAATCAGGCAATCAGGCAAGGCGAGATAGACATGTTTACCAGTCCAAAATACTTTTTTTATTAATTAGGTTGGCGTGGACGTGGAAACAATATGTTCACATTGTATGACATGTATACATTGAACAATCAATATGGACAACCAAATGCTAGTTAGGAAGTTTAAGGTACCCCCGGATTTACTTACGTGTTTCCTGAAACAGTTGTCTTTTGAAAGACTTTGAAAGTGGTGACTTCATCTACAGACTTTTTTGATGCATATGGTGACTGAGAATACTTTCTTTTCCGATGTGGTTAGGCTTTGGGGGTTGGTAACCCGATTGACTTTGGGGAGAAGTAACAATGTCATATGGTGAACACAGCCTTGGTCATTTTTTCAAGAAATTGTCATGCTTTCTAGAAGGTTTTTGAAGTTTTAGACCGTGTTCAGACGAAATGTTGAGACGTAGTGATACAAGAGGTGTATCTGCAAGGTATGGTCAATGTTTCCACGAAAGGGAAAGGACCATATTCTGTCAAAACGTCAAAATAAATGAGATATACAAATCTCCCGCCGAAAATTTTGGGTATAACGTCGTAAACTTCCGGTGTTACGACGTATTAGAGAATGGGGTGTGGAAAGGGCTAAATTGCTTGCCCCAAGGTGCAACCATCAAAAAGATAATAGCAGCGAGTATAAGAAGTACAAGGTTTTGATATGTATGATAGTCCATTTGGGTGTGGTCATTTTTATTGAAAACAATAATGGTGAAGAATTATATATTGCTGACCTTGAAATGCCATTTTAATTCAAAAGTCACTGTTGGTAATGATAATATTCCTATTTTCAATGTTTTTTAAATGTTTCAATTACCATTTCTTTAGTTTTTGGCAAAGTAAATAATTACAGGGCTCACACAAGGATCTACTTTATTTACAACTTTTTCATATTTAGTGATGTTTTGAAAAAATGCTAAGTTAAAAACAATTTTATTTGTTAAATGTTAAATAGAATGATGATATTGTATTTGTTTCCTTGTTCCAACTGAAAAATCACAATTCATTGCGCTTGCTCTTAGAGCGGCAGGGCATATACCAGTATGAAAAAGTCTTCAATAAAGTCGATCCTTGTGTGAGCCCTACAATGATTTACTCAGCCAAAAACTAATATAACGCTTATTTGGATATATAAAAATCATTTAATAGGTAAAATAGGAATAAAATGATTGACTTTTGAATAAAAAGGCATCATTGTTGTTGCAGTAAAATAACCACACCAAAGTGGACTATCTTTTCATATTAATTCTATTTGCATGTTTTACTCCAATTATTTGTAACAAAAGTTTATTGCGATAAAGCAGGCAGTGAATTTGACACTTTTTAGCTTGCAGACAGTGATCTAGATTAGACAATGTCTTGTAGTAACGGGTCTAACAGAGATGAGGCAGGAATTGATTTTGTAAATGCAACTTTTGACAATTCCAGTATTGATGGTTTATCTAACAGTTAGCAATTTTGTACAACATTCTGCTTGGAGTGTTAGATGTTATGCACTGGACTGTATTATCAGTAGTGTGACATATGATACATTAATATTTTTCCAAATTTTTACCCTGCAGCCTTTGGAGATGATTCATCAGAGAGCACAGGTCTGCTGGCTGGACTGAAGAAGGAACGGAGTTACAATACATAAAGATAATCACACTAGATTGGATACTGATCAATATTGTATTAATAAGTACCAGTAGCTTCATGTAGTCTTCAGACACCAAGGATCTTTAGAGTGGCTCATAATGTAAACTTCAAGTACTCGTACAGTTCATTAGATGAGTTAAGGGTTTGCCTGGTTGAACTTGGATACAACATCTTCATTGTGACATAATACAGTCTCGGCAAACAATTTTAAAGTTAAATCATATCTATTTTATAAAAGAGAGCCACCTTTGTTCAAAAAATCATTGAAAATCATCAAACAGAGAATTTCATTGTCCATAAGCTTTGACGAAGAGGTGTTAAATCCTATATATTAAATTACTTTATTCACCATTTATACAGGGTAGCACAAAATGTGCCACCCACATCATGTTAAATTAATTTTTCGTCTGTATGATTCCTGGCTTTCTTTTTTTTGCAAAGAAAAACTAAACTTCATGGAGCAACTCCACAAGAAGTTTCAGATGACTAGCTCAACTGAATACACTTTCATGAGCGTTTTAAGATTTTCTCTAAATGTCAGGCACACCTGGATTCTATGGGTAAAGATATTGACAACCCTAACGGCACATTCCCCCACAGAAATGGCCCTGATCTTTCTTGATCTCTATCTTCAAGTGTTCTATGGTTTGGGGGTTTGTTGCATACAAATGATCCTTCAAGCACCCCCAGACATAAAAATCTTGCGGGTTTATGTCAGGCAAATGTGGTCAATAGCTTTGCCAGTAGAATTAGATCACATTTTGTAACCATCATAAAAGACCACATAATTGGTTTTGTCATCTGAAACTTCTTGTAGAGTTGCTCCATGGAGTCTAGTTTGAATGTGCAAAAGAAGTCAGGAATCATATAGACAAAAAAGTTATTCAACTTGAGGTGGGTGGCACTTTTTGTGTCACCCTGTACTACTTTGTTAGATATGTTACATTTTAGATTTTAGCACTAAAACAGCACTGATTTTTCACACTAAATTAGCAGTCTTGCAGTATTGTAACTATCAGTGCTAATTTAGTGCTAGTGCATATTTAATGCTTATAACTTTATGCTCGCTTTACTTTGCATGTACAGACAATGCATAAAATATAATCTATCAGTCAAAGAAAATAATTGGGAACATATAAACTCATTTAGTTGAACCAACAATTATAAACTTATATTTTTAATTTATCATAAACTACATATGCATAATGTTTTAAAGAAAAATCAACATACAGGGTGTCCCGAAAGTATGGGGCCCCCCCTAGGCAGACATATACCAGTGTCGTCATAGTATGTGTTATATATCATTTGAAAGCTTATCCAAAGTTACATTGATTCTTCAAGTATCATGGTTCAACTCTCAAATGTGAAAAAATTACAGGCATTTGAAAAGTTAGTGTTTGGTCAAAATTAAGTTCAATTTTACACCAAATCACTAGTCAATGTGTCCTCCTGGGCCATCTTAACAGCAGCAATTCTTTTCGGGTCGGAGGGATATTGAATTGGAAAAAGAGAACGGTAAGGGTAGAAACTCTAAGGAAACTCTTCTAAAGTCCCTTAACAGGTTTTAAGATGGTTATAAAATTTCACATCCCTATTTGAAGGGCTTTTAAGGTCACATCTGAAAATAATTGCTGATGTTAACATGGCCGAGGGGGGACACATTGACTAGTAATGTGGTGTAAAATTGAACTTTATTTTGACAAAACACTAACTTTTAAAATGACTGTAACTTTTTCCCATTCGGGAGTTAAACCATGATACTTGGCAAATCAATGTAACTTTGGATAAGCTTTAAAATGATATATGACACATACTATGAGGACACTGGAATATGCCTGCCTAGGGGGGGCCCCATACTTTCGGGACACCCTGTACAGTGCAAAATTTAATTACAATATGTTGGGTTTGTAGAAAAAAACGGGTACCGGGTAGTAAATCCTCCATGCTGGGTTCAAACTTGGTACCCGGTCGAAAAAAACGGGTACCCAAAAAACGAAAAATACGAATATACAACATATGTTTTGAATATACAAAAATGTATGTAATTTCCTTTAAAAAATTGAGCTGGAAGCTTCAAATAAAAAGCACTTTAAGGCTCTTTTCTTCCTCTATCATCATGGTCATATTTTCATTGGTTATGGGGGAGGGTTGCGATCGCACCATCGAACCCCCTCCTTGCTACGCCTATGACATTGTAAGACGATTTGAAAAACATGACAAATCAATCTTACTCTATTTTCAATAGTTCGTATGTTGGTACGTGAATTGTTTGGATTATGATTTAAATGTGTAAATAGCTATCGTTACTTTAGCAGAGAGGTGACGTGTGTTAATTTACATGATGCAACGTGTAAAATTTTGATTATTAATCATAATTTAAGTTATCCCAATTTTCGACGAAACGTCCACTGAAGTGTAAATTGTTATGTCTTACAATGCCATAGGCGATCGCAACCCCCCCCCATATAACCAACGAAAATATGACCATGATTATAGAGGAAGAAAAGAGCCTTAAAATGCTTTTTATTTGAAGTTTCTAGCTCAATTTTGAAGGAAATTACATACATTTTTGTATATTCAAAACAAATCTTACACGTTTTCCAATGATCTAATTATGTTATATATTCGTATTTTTCACTTTTTGGGTACCCGTTTTTTTTGACCGGGTACCAAGTTTAAACCCAGCATGGAGGATTTACTACCTGGTACCCGGTTTTTTCTACAAACCCCAATATGTTTCAATTACTAAATACCAAAAAACTGACTGGTATTTTATACAATATAAATTTTTAAAAGCGCAAGGTGTGACATGTTTCTCTTCTGCATATATTGTACCGTAGTTATATTCATGTTTGGTGTATCAAAGGGATAAATTAGTACCGAAGGCACTTGCAAGGCTAAATATACTTGTGAAATATCCAAAATAGGTCTGAAGAAATGTTTTCAAACTGTGAGATGTTCACTAGAGGAGGTGTTTAGAAACACAAGTTTTATGGGATTTTATATTTTATTCAGAGTGTAGGGTGAACTTGTGTATACTATAAGTAAAATATGTAACTTGAATTTCTACTTAATACAGGGTGTTCAAAAAAATGCACCCAAAGAAATATATATATATATATCTTGAAAAATACTCGTTCAATTATGTTTATTTTTTCAGGAAAGAAAGAAGAGACTGTGTATAGCTCCTGTAGATGGTTAGTTGTAAAACATGATGCCTTGACACCTGCTCAAAAGAAATAGTTGTACTAGGAAAATACAAAAAACACAGTCAGGGGTCACTGCAACCGCAAAAAAACTAAATAACATCCTAACCATAGTGTTTTGGCTCTTCAAATTTGGCACAAATCATCTTCATTCACTGTATGGTTAATCTGTAACGTGAAATCAAATTCACTTCAGGGACTTTACAGTTATGGTCGAAATGGTTTCAAATCGCAGGCAAACACCCTGGTTCAGGCAGACTTCAGAAGGCATTTTGACCATGACTGTAAAGTCCCTGCAGTGATTTTGATGAAACTCTTCAAATTCACCACACATTGAATGAGGATAATCTATGCCAAATCTGAAGTGCCAAAACACTATGGTTAGAAAGTTGATTGGTTTTTTATTGCCGTGGCAGTCACCTCTGACTGCATTTTTCATATTTTCCTAGAACAACTGAATTAGTATTTTCCAAGATATAAAGATTTTCCATTTGTGTTTTTCGTATTTTCCCTGTACAGTTTGAGTTATCATAGATTACTTTTTTTGTGAAAAATGGCAGCCATTTTGAAATTCAGCTGACGCCTTTGAAATTTCTTGAGAAGCAGATCTCCTTTTTCCCTAAACATCAGCATATAAAATTGGAACCAAATCCATCCACTGGTATTTGAATATCAATGAGTACTTTTTTGATGAAAAATGGCGGCCATTTTGAAATTCAGTGGCCATCTTGAAAATGTCTTCTTGAGCAGAACTTCTTTGTCTCTAGGCATCAGCATATAGAATTTGAAGCAAATCTATCAACTGGTATTTGAGTTATCAATGGTTACGTTCTTTTATGAAAAATGGTGGCCATTTTGAAATTTAGCTGCCATCTTGAAAATCCCTTCTCAAACAGAGCTTGTATGTCCCTAGGCATCAGCATGTAAAATTTGAACCAAATTCATTCAATGGTATATGAGTTATCAAAGATAATGTTTTATAGCCGCTATTTTGAAATATGGTGGCCATCTTTAAAATGTCTTCTTGAGCAAGGCTCTTTTGTACCCAGGCAACAGCATATAAAATTTGAACCAAATCCATCCACTAGTATTTGAGTTATCAAAGATATTTTTCCGAAAAATGGCCGCCATTTGGAATTAAGCGGCCATATTGAAAATTCCCTCTATAGCGGATGCCCTACACCCATAAGGCATAAGCCTATAAAATTTGAATGAAATCTGTCAGCCGGTATTTGAGTTATTGCCCGGACACACGAATGGACGGGCAGACGTCTTGTTTATATGCTGTTCATGTCGGACAGACAGCTTTTCTATATCCCACTCGAACTTCGTTTGGTGGGATAACAACAGGAGCTATACAAACACAGTCTCTTCTTTCTTTCCTGAAAATATGAACACAATTGGATAAGTATTTTCCAAGATTATAGCGATTTTTCGGGGTTGCGTTTTTTTTAACACCCTGTATACAGTGCATCCCAAAAAACGCAACAAACAAAAACATTGTAAAATCACAAAACCAGTCTTATGAAAGATTACTCATGAAAGATTACATTCCATGCCCTTTCACATGACCACTATTTCTCTACACACAGAGACTGGCTTGTGTCTCCATCTCGCACAACTCTTTGAATCATCTGGGGTATATGAAAAATTGACATACCGTTGGAAAGAGATATGTGGCTTCCTGGTAAACTAAATGAAATTGATGTAATTATCACTGGTTTTGTGATTTACAATGTCTTTGTTTGTTGCGTTTTTTGGGACGCATTCCCGGACACATTATATAATGTACACATGCTATGTTCTGCTTACATTCTTCGCAATAAATGTTTTTATTTTTCTATATAAATTGTTGTTTTGTCAAGTAGAGCACCATGAAATAAACATTCATAATATTAATTGCATACCCGGCAACCCAGATTCATGCGAAAAAATTGGTAAAGGTCATCTAACAGACAAAGAATTATATCCCAAATAAATATATAATAATTATTACAAACTGGTAAATCAAGAATGATGGCTTTAGTCTATGATTCTTAGTCTTTCAGAAAGAAAACTACATGTTGCTTTTCACTACATCTACAGTCATCATTTTACAGTTATATACAGTTGTATACATGTATACATGTACACTCCCCTCCATAAGTGTGGCAACCTTTGGTCCC